GGGCAGCGCGTGGGGGGCGAAGATGCTGCGATGGGGCGTCGGGGGCCCACCCTCAGAGCGCAGGGGCTGGAGGGCCATGTGGTCCCCACCCCGCCGGCCTGCCGCCTTGAGGCTCAGGGATCGCAAGGCCCCTGAGAAGGTGTCAGCGGCGCTGAGCGGAGGGGAAGGCGAGTAGGCGGTGTGCAGACCACCAGGGGGGTAGTCAGGGAGGTCCAGGCTGGGCTCAGACGTGAAGTCCAGGCTGTGGAGGCTGTCCTCCCCCAGAGTCAGGGAGTCAGGGCCTGAGACCTGCAGGGAGAGAGGGTGCACGCCTGCCACTGCCCGCCCGCCACGCCCACCTGGTCACCGGATGCTGTGCCCACGTGGAGGCTGCAAGCTTAGTGACATCACGGTGGTGGCAGGTACAACCGACAAGCTGTCCCAGAAGCTCTCCAACCCCTGGCCACACCACCTGCTCCTTGTCCACCAGAGAAGGACGTGGGGGGCAGGGGGAAGCAGAGCAGCAGCCCCAGGTGGTACCTCCCAGGGAAGGGTGTGCACGCTGTTCCTTTTGGGGGTGGGGGTGGGGTGTGCAGGGACAGCCTCGGCAGCTGGACCTTGAGGAGACGTCATAACCACACAGGGACCAGGGCCCTCTCTTGGGCACCCCACCTCTGAGTGTCGGAGCACAGCAGGGCCACCACTGGCCACTACACACACCCAGGGCAGTGTCCTTGCAGCCCACCCAGCTCAAGGGACAGCCACACCAACAGGGCCTTTGTGACTCGAGGCTTAGGCTGGAGACAAGAACCTGCAAAACCTTAAAACACAGAGCCCAGCTAGCATGTCTCAGTGGTGGAGCATCGACCTATGAACCTATGAACCTATGAACCTATGAACCAGAAGGTCGAGGTTCAGTTCGAGGTCAGGGCACATGCCTGGGTTGCGGGCTCAACCCCCCAGTAGGGGCGTGCAGAAGGCAGCCGATCAATGATTCTCTCTCATCATTGATGAGCTCTCTCCCCTTTCCTT